TAATCGACGTTAGAGTGCAACGTCTCTCACGGCAAGTTATGGTAATCAGGATTTTATTAATTGAAAAAAAAAAAGAAAGAAAGAAAGAAAAGATGAAACGAGAGCACTTGCGGGAAATATTCTCATAAAACCTCTTAATAATTTTGAAAAATTTTTAATAGAGATCTTGAGAATATGACGAAGTAGAAATATTTTAATCGAGGCGAATAAAAAGTGATTTAACATGTTGAAGCAAAGGAAACCTCGTACATTTTTAACGTAAAATATAAAATGTCGAGAAGATAGGATATGTATTGCTTATCAAGTTTCTTGACAGTTCTAATTTCCGGAAGAATTGAACTGACTTAACAAGTTATTACTTACTTAATGAGAAGAAGTTTTAATTGGGAAGAAATTGAGGGAAAGAAAGGAATAAGAGATGGATCAATTTTTTTTAAACAACGAAAACGCATCTTAACGATTTTATATTACATTCCAATTCAATGTTAAATTGGATAGAGAATTTAGATGAGAGTGTCGAGTGTTTTCGATCAGATCGAAAACCATGTTCATGTTGGAAAGAAAGGAAAATAGAAAGATAATTGTTTAAACGCTGAGAGCAATGAAAAATGCAATAAAATGGCGCTTTATCATAAATCAAACATTACTTAGAAAGTAGTATCCTGCTATTTCCTACGCTTTCTACTAATTTTATATCGAAACGAAAAGCTTCGATCCAAGATTATCGCTGCTCGAAGAGCTAGTAGGCACTTTGTATCTAAAATCGGATCTTAAAATCTTCAAATCGAAGTGTTTCACGATATTTTAAGATATTTCAAAGATATTCCAAATTATATACTTTCTAAGTATTTAGAAAGTAAGAGTATCTAAATCAATTTGCTCAAATTTCGATGTTCGATGATCTCTTAACCTAAAATAATCTAATAAAATATTAATTCAATCCCAGTTAACCGAATCAATATTGATAATAATATTGATCCTTATTACCATACCATAAAATACGAAAACACGAATTCTTCAAAGAATAAAATTCGTCGACTCGCTGTTTTCAAGCTCGAAAAAAAAAAAGAAAACTCCATCCTATCATCCGACAAGAAGAAAGCTCGAGATCCACGAGGCGAGATTCAGTATACTTTAATCGCATCTCGCATCAGCCTCCCCTGAACAGCAGCACAGCGACCGGCAGCGGCCAGGGTTTCGATTGACGCTAATCTCGGGTATCGACGGTGCCCGACCGATTACTACATCGTCGCGGGACAAGCGTGCAGGGACGGGCATTGGACGGGCCGTTTAATCGCGGGCCGCGAAAGAGAAAATGGCCGAAGTGGTAATGGCTAGCTCCGGAAGCTGGCCGATCGGTTCCAGATGAGAGAGAGAGAGGGAGGAGAGGAACGAAGCGTCGTACGCTCTCGCCTCGATCCGCGTGGTGGACGACGACGCGTCGATGAAGGGGAAGCCGAGAGCAGCCCGTCGCCTTCCCTCGAATAATCTCGAAGCGAGCGGATATCTAAACGAGGACCTTGAAGCAAGCCCGCGGGCGATGCACGCGTACATATGTACGCTCGCTTGGAAGCGAACGTATGGAAGTCGAGTGGCTCGCCGAGTGATATATATCGGCCGCGATATATCGCTCTCCCGATGCCACGACTCGATCTTCGGCCCGTAGCGGTCGCTGCGAATAGAGAGAGAGAAAGGGGGAGAGAGAGAGAGAGAGAGAGGCGAGTCGAGAAGAGGTGGCGGCCTCTGCTCCACGCCACGCACTCTCGTTGCGAACAACAACGCGCCACCACGCCCTCGTGAAACAATGTGATGGTTAACCTAACAAGCTCTCATCCGTGCTCTCGAGCTGCGCCACCCTACCGTGCACGGTTGCGGAGACGAGGTTAGGTCGCCACGCGGAGAGACGCCTAGGGCAACACTTTCAGGACTACACCGGCGTGTAGCCGATATTCCGTGGCGATAACGATGTTGCGACATACGCGAGTCAACGTGGCGGGATCGCGAGGTTATGGCGTTCGTGTGTTCAACTCGCGGGGAGTTTCGTTAGGGAGTTGCTTTGATTTTCTTTCTTTCGTTGATGTTGCGCCGATGGGATAAGTTACGAGCCAAGTGGAGGTTGGGCGGAGGAGGATGGAAGAGGAGTTTGGAATGCTTGGTGTGAAGATGGCGTTGGATATATATTGTACGTTGGGTACCTTGAATTTTCATTGTTAAAAAAATTACTGTTATTGATATTATGTATTTGATAAGGATAATTGAAATTTCGATTAAAAATTGCAATGTTTAAGTTAAAAAGGAAACAAGGCTTTAAGGCTTTCAAAGGAATAATAAATTCCATTGGACGTAAAATATCTCATTTTTCTTCCTCGAGTGATAAAACGAATCGCTTGACAGGCGAAGCCTATCCTATCGTATAACAATTTCTAAAAACAGTTGAATCGGTGATCGTCACGTTTGAAGGTACACGCAATTGTTCTGAAACCGCATCCATATCCGCTCGGGGATGGAACAAGGCATTCTTGTCTCGTTTTATCGATATACTGTCCACCTAGACGAAACGTAACTCCGTACAGCTAGAGACGTAAAGAAAGACGTAGTTAGACAGCGTACGACGTTCCCGGACGACGAGTCGGGAGACAATCTGCCATCGGGTTGTACCGTGGATCGGTGGAAACGCCTGGAATTCAATACCCTTCTGTTCCTTCGTTGGATCCAAATATGGAACTCGGCAACGACCTTTGTAGGAAGCCATAGTCGGCACTGGAAACACGAAAGTACCGCGTCTGCCTTTTGTCCGAACATCGATGAAATCTAAATGAATCACTTTTTTTTTATTCTAATCTCTATATCCTTCTTCGTTATATATTACCAAAAGTTTGAATTTTCATCAAAACATAGATTCTTCGAAAATCCTCGAAAAAAGAAAAAAAAAAACAAAATATTCACCCAATTATCAAGTTTCACTCCCAAATCAAAACACTTTCCAAACCGAATCACGTTTCATCGTCGTCGTCATCATCATCATCATCATCATCATCATCATCATCATCATCATCATCATCATCATCAACAACAGCCCGAAAGAAAAACCCAATTCATCAGAGCTCGAAAAAATACCCATTCCCATCGAGGCAAATCGAATCGCATCATTTTCGTCTCATCATCGCCACGTCCGGACGAGGGAAACGAGCTGTTCCCCTCGAAAGCGACGAAAGGAACCATACTCTGGCCGAAGCGACAGGTTGCTTCTCTCGAGGCGAAAGTGTGTGCACACCACCTTCGTTCTCGAGGTCCTCTGTTCGATTCCTACTCCTCCAAGTCCGCTGATATCCTACCCACAACGACCGCCACCACCGTCGCCTCGCTCCGCGTACCACCACCACCGGTTACCTTTTGTCCACCACCACTTGGCCCGGCTACCACCTCCTTGTTCGCAGGCAGCGCGGGGCACCTCGCCATGTGACTGATTCCCCTTCTCCGCAGGTTGACGAGCGGTGGGCCTGCCTACCTGCCGCCCGTTGCCCCGCTCCCATTACGACGCGGACTCTCGCGGCAGGTGCACCAACCTAAGTGCCACTCCGCTTACCTGTGTGTCGTGCCTACCAAGCCAGCGTGTCCGGTGGTCAGGTTCTTCCTCTCTTCTTCTCTCTTCTCTCTCTTCTCTCCTCCTCTCCTTCTCTTCTCTCTCTCCTTCTCTCTTCTCTTCTCTCTCTCTCTCTCTTCTCTCTCTCTCCTCCCTCTCTCTTCTCTCTCTCTCTCACCCTTTCTCTCCCGCGTGTGTCTCCTCTTTCTCACCCCCTACCAAGCTTCGTCCTTCTCCCTCTGTCTTCCTCTGTCCCCTTCGACGTCGCCTCACGCAGCAGTGCGGTGTTGTAGTGTCGTGTCATCCTGCGCTACGTCAACGATCCTCCCGAACGTGTGTCGAGGCAACGATCGATCGATCGCGTATCCTCTCTTTGACTATCCGTCGCTACCTGGCGCGCCTATATATACATATATATACAACATCTTCCCTCCGTAATATACCCTCCGCCACGAAAAGTTTCCAGTTTCATCCTTAGTGCGGCTCTCCGATTTTGCGAAAACGTACGCGACCGTTTCTCTCGAGACACGTTGTCGCCTGTCGATCCTCCTGTCGTGCTCAAGTCTCTCGAGGAAGCAAGAAGGGGACGGAACATCTGGAGAAAAAAAGAGGGAGAGAGAAGGAAAAGAGAGGAAAGGAAGATCTCGTTTCACGGTGGCTCGAGGTTTCCGCGTGTGTAAACAATCGTGTGGAAACGATCGGGCGAAGGCGAGGAGGAGCAGAGCGCGTTCGAGAGGTGTTCGCCACGCGACAGCATAGACCAGTTGGCCGCCGCGTCAGTCGAGGATCGGACGACGATCGTCGACGATCGCCGCGCCGTGTTGCACGCACACACAGTTTTCCCGTCCCGATCGTCGCGAGTGTTGTCAGTGTATTGGCTATCCTCCGTCCACGAGGATCATCGTGGCGACGATCCGAGGGAGCACTGGACCTCGAGGCTCTCTGGCTCTTGGTGGACTACGAGCAAGAGGGGACGCCCGGTGAACGTGTCAAAACGTCCGCCGCCGCGACTCCTCCATTGACATTTCCGTGACATTTAGTGCGCGACCGCGCGCCAGCCTTGCGATTCCAGGCGACCACGCTCGTCTTTTTCGTCGTAACACGCGTCGCCAGAAACAGAGAGAGAGAGAGAGAGAAGAGAAGAGAGAGAGAGAGATCCTTGGACACGGTCTGGTGGAGCCCATACAGTGTTCGGTCGTTCGAAAAGTCGCCAAGTTTACGTTACGTTTCTTCCTTTTTTCTTCTTCTTCTTTGATAACCATACACACACTCCTCGATGACGAATATTCTTCCGCGCTTTGTCGACACGCGCGTCTTATTATACGCCGCTTGGAACCGGCCACTGGACGCGTAGCTCGTCGATAGAAAAAAACAAAAATAAATAAACGCTCGACGATCTTTCGTTGCGCTTACGAGAAAGAGAGATAGAGAAAGAGAGTGATCGTTCTTCTCATGATCCTCTCATGCTCACGAGCCGTGCGTTCGCGCGTGATCAAGATCTGACGTTCAACAGGTGGTTTCGAGTATATATTGTATATCGCGGTTTTGGTGGACGAGTTGGGGTTGGTTCACGGATCGAGCTGTATATATAGAAGAGGGTTTGTGAAGAGGGTCGACTGGAGGGAACGGGAGTCGAGGGGGTTGATTGTTCGCTCAGAAGGGAAGTTGGCCGAGTCCTGAATCAAACTGGACATACTCACCGCCACGTCGGGACGTACGGAGTGGAGATGTCCGCGGGTCGCTGAGAGAATGAGGGAGCTGGACACCGAGAGCCCTGTTGTCTGGCCGGCCTGGTGTTACACTGGTGAGTCGATTGTTTAAACGTTTCTAGGAGCGAATTCTTTCTTGGTGATAACGTGCGTTTGGGAACATTTATGAGGTGTGGGTTAATCGAAGTTTTTCGTTGTCTTCTTTTTTTTTTTTTGAAAGTACTTTACATTCGAAGAAACGAAGAAGAAGAAGTAGTAGTTTCGAAGTTTTTGAATTGAGCTCGTTTGTAAAAAGATTTAGGGAAAGAATATTTTAAATCGTACGTTAAAGTTTGTTATGAATCTAGTGAAACTCTCGAACCGATTCCGGTTGAAATTATTGAACCGATTGCAGCAAAGCGCATTTTCTAAATATCTTTAGATACGATCTATTGTGTCATTTGACCTTTTGTCCAGTAAGAAACGAGTAATTATTCGAAACGTGTATAATTTCTTTTTATAAGAATATTCACCTTGAACCGAACTCGTAAGAATATTTAAAGAGAGAAAAAGTTATCGAGTTAATCGTTTCGATGTTAAATCTTTAATCGATCGATCACTTCTTTACAAGGAGTGAATAACATTCTGAAAAATCCGTAAGATTTCTGTTCTCTTGTTTTTAAAAAATATCCGAGAAAGGAAAATAGTTGTCGATGAAACGAAGTAATAAATAAAATTACTTTTTCTATAGATAATTGAAACAAGCTTTTAAATCGGGACGGAATCTCACGATATTTCTAATCTTATTAAAAATGATAAAACAGGGAACATTATTGTTTTTCTTTTTATCCATTTTACTTGAATAAATTGTCTTGATTATTATTCGAAATCGAGTCATACGAATACGTATACGTAATGATACTACGCATAAATTCTACGAAAAGGAATGTCTCGCAATTGTTGACAGTTTTTAACGATAACTCGAAAAAAATCTCAAACATTGTTGATGTTTCTTTTCTACGACACGTCTGTTCCATATATTTGGACGCTATATCGTTTGCAAACGTCGTCACGAAGCGTCTCACGTCCAAAATATTTATCCTGCTGTCGTTGCCATTCATCGTCAAAGTTCCATTCAGGTAACACTTTCCATAGATTACGATAATTGTCGAACGTGATAACGAGAGATGTAATGGTGGCAATTCGCGTATATCGCGGTTAAAAAATTTCCAACCATAAATAGCTCTTTCTAATCACAATGCAAATATACCCATCGTGTCCCATTACGATATTTATCTTTATTTTATAACTTTTTTTTTTCCCACTTAACATCATCCGTGATAATTCCAATTTTCAATTTATTTTTTTGATGATAAAAAAAAAACGAACATTACAATGATCTTCCCCCTTCCCAAAAAAGAGAGATGTTAATTCAATTATATATAAAAAATAAAAACTTTTCTCTCTATCGTGATGAATATTTTTAAAATTATAAAATTAAATATATTTAATATAAATATATTTAAATATATTCCATTTTTTCTTTTTTTTTTTTTCATCTAAATTTCCTACAAACAACGAAACAATTTTTCGTTTTTTCGAGAAAAGACATTGATTTCTTCGAAATTAGCGATAAGCACGATAATAATTTCTCGGCGTCACAATTATTCAGATAATGGCGAAATATTGTTTCGAGGTCATGAATCGTTCCCTCATGGTCGGCGTTCTAATCAGCGGTACGTGTTGATAGCGGACAAAATTCTATCGAGCTTGTTGTAATAGGATGCCATTCGCGGTGACGAGTTGCGGGAAGTTATGAAACACGTGTACACCGCCGAAGTAGGCGGTTACTACTTCGTTGCTGGAATTCGTACGCTCGTTCCATGTATTCTGCCGACTGTTCACAATTGTGACGCGCGGGGGACAAATAAACGGGCCGTCGATAAGAAATCTCGAATTATGTTGCGTAATATTCGCAAACGATAACGATATTCGCCGATTCTTTGTAATAAACCGGGTATATATGGTGATAACAAATCGATCTCGAAAACTCGACGGATCTTTTTCCACGCAAAATATTTTTCTCAACATCACCTACGCTTCTCGATCATTATCCTTAAATCTTAATCACCTCTCATTACCTCCATAATCAATTCACCCTCGAAATAATCTAACGATTTTGAAGAAGAAGAAGAAGAAGAAGAAATTCGAAAAAATCCTCCCAATATTTCTTCCACTTCCCTAAACAAACCGGCCGGGTTTTAACTCCCTTCCCAGGGGATTCCATTTACACTTACTCCCCGAACACGCGTTTTATCTTCGCCCTATCACCCGAATGGAAGTTCACCCGAAAACGGTGGACCAGCCGGACGATATTTTCGGTGCCCTTACGCCATAAAACGGCTCCCCCCTAAGCATCTTAAAAGGGTGTCTCGGGAGAGGGAAAGAGAGAGAGAGAGAGAGAGAGAGAGAGAGAGAGAGAGAGAGAGAGAGAGAGAGAGAGAGAGAGAGAGAGAGAGAGAGAGAGAGAGAGAGAGAGAGAGAGAGAGA